AACATGCATCATTATATCAGTTGAAGGAGCAGGGGAGCCTGTGAACCATCCAAATTTGTAGCAAAAATATCAGTCTCCTATGGTCAATTACACTATCTGGGTCAAATAATTAAAAAGAAATAGCTGAAGTGTCATGATTTTTTGTTCAGCCTTTGCTTTAATGCTTTCTCAGTTGGTATCTGCTCTCACATATTTGTGACTAAGAGAAAGTCAGGAAAAGAGAAAGCTTCATGAACACCTGGTAAAAGTTCCAATGGCTATGCTTCATTCTCCTCTTTCTGCAATGGTTTTCACCTATGTATTTATTACATCCACTATTCTATTTCCAGGACATCTTATAGTAGGTATAGTGAGCAGGACTCCTCTTTCATTCATTACACAGTTTAAATGAAATCAGAATGCCATATACAGTTAAGATTGAATGTGCCCATATGAAGTTAACAATCATAATATTATTAAAATTGCACGGGAAAAGCAGCATGCATAATTGAAAGAGAGAGTGAAGTGTAAAACGTTAACGTTAGCTAACCACTACATGAATGTTCCCCACAGATGAGGACAACAAAAAGTCTTCCACATCCAGACACTGCTGCAATTCCCTCTGCCTACAGCTGCAGAAACTTTTCTACGGGTAATCCTGTGCCAACCCTAACTATAGTTGTAATTACTGAATGTGAAAAACAAGAAGTTTACACAGAGCATCGTTAACACCACTATTTACACATCATAAGCCAGATGTGAAATGCTAACACAAAGAAAGGAGAACAGCTTTATTTTAGGGCACTTGAATAAGGACCAGCCTTACTATGAAATAATGCAGACCTCTCAAACCTTTTGGACTCTGAACCCCACAACCCAGTGGCAGCTCTCTCACCACCATATGATTGCAAATAATATTCAAGCAGAGCTGTATGTATGCAATGTGCTGCTCCATGGTCGGTATTTATTATTACTATTATTATTAAGGTATGAATCCAATACTGGTATTAGAAGAGGGTTAGAAAAGGGCATGTCAGGTTCCTCCTAAAACAAGCTAATCACAAATGGAAGCACATATGGGAATAGATTGCTGTAGAAAGGAACATTAATATATTTCAAGACTCTGCAGTTTCCAAGTTAGCTTAGCAGTCTTGGTGGCTACATTAAAGCTATGACAATGGGAGAATCGGTACCTCTGACTCTGTCAGAGCTTCACAGCACCTGCAACTGAAATAATGTGAAGCAGTTGTACCAGACAGCAGATTCCAGAGGGGGCGCTATTTTGCCATCTTCAGTCTTGCTCATCTCTAAGAAAGCAGTCCAATCCAGAACACAGGGAAATGTTTTTAGCTTCTTTCTTCACATTCAAAAAGATTGAAGAGTAGCACTAACTTCTAAGTTCACCTACACGACCCCCCAAAATAGTCTCTTAGTATAAGAAATAAAGTGATCCAAGAGATATTCATTCACAATAAACGTAGTAGCAGCAACTTCATAGACATCCTAATAGTGGCGACTTTATTGATCCCTAAAAGTGGCAGCCCTTCAGACTCCCAAGACCCACAGAAATTCTTTGGACCACAGAAGTTTTTATTGTTGTTATTTTTTTATATTTAAAAAAAAGTTCAAAAAAGGCATGTTGTATAATCGATGTCACTGTTTTCCATTTAACATAATTTTTTTTTTTAAAAAAAAAAAAGTTTATTGGAATGCTTTACAAACTGCATGTCCAAGATTTGAGGGGATTCCTGTGAATTCCCTGAACCTGAAAGAGGAAATATGCCCACACTGAAAAGGATTCTGGTACTGACTTTATTGGGTGCTCTATGCAAAGAAACCTAACTGGACAATATTCCAGGTGTCCTGGGAAACACCTATCCTTGTTGTCTTCTGTGGGGCCCTCTAATGTACGCAATGTTTTTCCAGCTGTTGCTGAAAATGTGAATTTCTGGTGTGTGTCTCTTTTACCCACTCCACTCCTTTTACCATGGTAACAATGAAAACAGGTTTTTCAGCTAGCTTTAATGAGACTGCTTGTTGTTATTGTATATATGGCATATAGCTCAACACATGCATGGAACTTCTTTCCATCATTTGTTATTGAGCCAACTGGTGTGTGGCAAGGGAAGTTCAAGAAGGCACTCGCTTAAAGCATCTTGCAAAGGAAATGCCTTGTGATGTAGAAGCCAAGGCAAATACAATGTAGAGACCTGATTCTCTAGTGCAAGGTTAGTCAGAATGTAGCAAAACATTCCCGGGGACACAGAGATAATTCTGAAGGAGATATTTTACAGTCATCTTCAGGCTATAATAATAGTAATAAAATGGCTGCGGATTTATTCTCAGTTTAAAAAACGAGCTAGTGATATATATCTCTGTATGATGGTGCTACTTTCTATATGTACACAGGCAAATTCTTTGGGCGAAGATTATGTTTTAGGCGTGCAGTGAAAGAGGTGGCAGGCAAGGGGGCTTAGAAACCAACGGAGGAACATTTCAGGAAAGCTCTTTTCCTGCTGAGCAAAGCAAAAAGGAGAAAGAAGGACGAACTCCCAGGCACCTCAGCCTGTCAGATAGTGCTTCTTATATTAGCCATAAGCAATTCAACTAATTGTCCCATTCATAGTGCCTTGCCCCCTCCCTTTCCAGTACTAATCAGATTATCTTCCCATTTGGCTATCTCTATGGAGCCTGCTTTTGTTCCCCAATTAACCCTTTTATTTGTTTGTTTGATGTTATGAGATAAAGACAGTGCCATCCTTTCAACATGAGTTGGAGCCTTATCAGCTTCTCTCATTAATTCGTTCAGTGAATATTCAGGGGTGAGGGTCTCTCCTTCTGGCTTCCTCAGTCTTATATCAGGAAAACCAGCATTCATTTTATATATATATATGAAGTTAGTTGGCACCTGTCTGTCTGGGGAGACAACAGAAGAGTGTGTTTGTTAAACCTAAAAAGCCACCCTTCTGCTGGTGCCTGTTGTTACTAATCCTTCACATGGAAACTGGCTCCTCTTGAAAGGTCCTGCAGAATTGTGATTTCTGTCTCTCCTCTTGTTTTTATTCAAGTGCTGGGGTTCAAAGGAGCTGAGCCAACCAACCAGTTTTGATACTGCCCAGAGACTGCAAACTTTGCAAAGGGTCCTTTTCATGGGGATCTCAGCAAAGGAACAGCAGCAGGGTACTGTGCACTCCTGGTAGCTATACAAATACAAACATTCTGACTCAAGTGGGGGGGTGGTATAGCATTCTGATAGCATTGTCCACATATTAATATTTGGGTAGGGGCAAAAAATATCACCCCAAACCCTGAGGGCTGGAAGTGTAAAGCAAGAGGTCACTTGCTCTGGAGGTGCCTCTCAGACATTTTTTATGACTACGGTGGAAAACATAAATAGTGCCTTGAACTACTGTTTTAATATGGTACACAATCCATCAGGAAATTCTCCTTCACAAGTCCCCAACTGAAATGCATAGCATCTGTGAGAAGGGAAGCATTGCATCCAGCTCCTGTTCCTTTTGATAGGGCTTGCCCCAGGCAGCTTGCCCAGGAATGCTTCCCCACTGGATTCTACCCCATGGGGCAGATGTGTCTCTCACTCAACTCTCCTGCCCTCCCACCCTTCATGGCTGCCAAAACCTGCCACTTGAAGTGGCTGTCTCACTTTGGCTCATGTTTATAGAGCATGCAAGCGATTCACTCTCTCTGAAGTGCTCCTGCTGAAAGTCAAATTCGAGAGGGGTGGCCCTGTTAAGTCTGTTTCAGCAGATCAGACACAGAGAGACGGAGAAAGAAGGTGATGGGCAGAGAACCAGCCTTGTTGCACCTTATAGGCTTCTGCCACAACAAACCTGCCAGTTATTAAGGTGGCACAAAACTAGGCAGGCGACGTCTCCTAGCGAAGTCAAAGAAAATGTGTTGGACCTAGAGGAGTACCTCTGGCTGTGATCAATTCAGCTGAGGGTGTGTGTGGGATTTCAAATGGTTTTCTGCAGTGCTGTTTTTCTAGAAAAAGAGGTGCCGGAACTCACCATGAACACTCCCGCGGTTCTCTTGTAATGGCAAAGACACATAGCTGCATAGCAACACACGCTCAGAGAGAAGCCGGGACACATGAAGCGAAAGCCCCGGGTGCGACTGGCAAGGCCGGCAACAACCCTTTCCTTCCTCCTTCCCCAGATATGCCGAGGGGAGGCGAGGGCACGGGGGACATGCCCCGCCTGGCATCCTGACCCTACTCTCCTAAACTGCGAAGTACAGGCGCCTGCGTAGCAGAACAGCTTCACTCCGGGCCGCTTCCAACACTCCCTTCGCCACTCGCGTTTCCAACGCCTCACCCGAGAAAGCGAAGCGATCGAGCTCGTCCCTCGCTCACCCATATGTCTACACACACACTTTCCAGCTCCAACTAGAGGAGATCGCGGGTTTCCCCTCCCCCCCCCCAGTCCTAGAGATCAAGCTGGATTAGGGAGAGTCCCTGTCGCTCCCCATCTCCTGGCGAGGGGAAAGGGGGAGAGCCTCGTTTCGTAAGTTTCTCCCTTGCAGAAGCTGCGTGGATGGAGGAGGAAGAGGCGAAGGTGCGCGCGGGGGGGGGGGGGATGCCTGAAGACATCCATCCATCCACACCTCCATCTCTCTCTCTCAGGAGCCACCAGCCCCATGCGGCGCCTCGAAGGCGGCAGTTCTAAGGCTCGGGAGACGAGCCCCCTTTTGGATCCGTCGGCACTGAACACCGAGTAAACACGCCCCAAAGGTGTCGGGGCCACTTGGGCAGAAGGAAGGTAGAAGTAGCTATAGCGCTTAATGAGAGAGGTGCTCCTCCCCACCCCCGTCCCGAGCTGGACCTGCTGGTATCCATTAACCTGTGGAGAGGTGAGCGGGAAAGCGCTCGCTCTCGCCTTTGCGGGCTTCTGCGGGGAAGATGGGCAGGCAGGCAGCGCCACTCAGTCCAGCCTGGGCAGGCCGGGAAAGAACTCTGAGGAGCCGAGAGAGAGAGGGAGGCAGGCAGGCGCCGCCTGGCCGAACAAGGGCAGCCTTACCTTGCGCGGCGGAGCCGGGGCTGCTGGCGCTCAGGATGGCCAAGGCGGGCAGCACGAGCATTTGCAGTAAGTATCCCAGTCCCAGTCCGTAGCGGGCGGCGGCGGCGGCTTCCAGCCCTTTCGCCATGGCTGCTGCTGCTGCTGCTGCTGCTGGGGGAAGCAGCCAAACCCCAAAGCCGAAGTCCAGCTCGCCGGTGCCCCAAGCCCACCCTCCCGCCCCTACTTTCTCCGCGCTGATGGGCTGCTGCGTCGGCCACGGGCCCACCTGGAAGCGCCGCCGCCCTCGCGACTTTTCCTGAGGGCGAAGCGGAGCGGGAGCAGTTGGCGAAGTGGCCCGAGACTTCAGAGAGAGGCGCTGCCTCGCTTCGCCTCAGGAGAGGAAGCGCGCGCGGCGGCAGCAGCAGCGCCTTCAGGCAGGCGGCACACTTGGGCACAGAGGGGCGCGCGCGGGTCTGAGGTGGACGGAGAAGCAGCCACTCCGAAACGGGCTTCGCCCGCCAGCCTCGCCGACTCTCTTCCCTCAGCCGCCTTGACTTGGCCGGTAGACCCAGCTGGGGCTGCTCCTCAGGCAGGACGGGCGCCCTTTCGCCCCAAGCGCGAGCGGCAAGAGCGGGGTCCGGGCGGCGGGAGCTGCTGCTGCTGCGAGGTGAGCAGGAATGGTCATTTCATAGTCTGGCCAAGAAGTCTGAGGGAGCTGGAGATGGCAGAGGCGGGAGGACGGGGGGAAGCGCCTCCGGCTCCGGCAGCATCCTTCTTCCCAACTCCGGCCGCGGGGACTCAACTGGAGGCGAGGCGAGGCAGCCCCGCAGAGGCACACGCCCCTGAGCGCGGCGCTGCCTGCGTGAAGGCGAAGCGAGAGCGAGAGAGCCGGCGCGCTTTTCCCCTCTGCCTCTCCCCCCCTCGAATGTGGTACACGAGCTGCGGAGCGGAGCCCTGGCGGAGGCACAACGCGCTCTAGCCAATGGAGCGCCGCTTTCCCAGGGACACTTGCAAAACCGGAGCTGGACTCGCGGACGGGACTGGCTCCTCCCCCTGGCTGCTGCTGCTGACGCGCTTCTCTCAACTCGAGAGTAGTAAGCCTGTTGAGGGGGCAGCGATCCTGAACGCAAATATGGCATGTGTTGCAATCCTATACACACCACTGGGAGTAAGTCTCCTTCGCTCATTGGGGTTTACTCCTAAATAGGCAGGTATAGGCAGGTTGGTCACTTACTTGAGACCAGACGTGGGTAACAAGCATAGATGTTGATATTGTGCCTTTAAAAGCCCGCATGCTGTGATTAGGGGGGGATGAGAGTAATAAGGGAAAGGAATCTCACCACACCCAGAGAACAGATTTCAGCAAAGGTTCTCACCGCTGATGCTGAATCTTGACCACACCCAGAAAACAGCGGAGCTTCTTATCTAAGTGGCTGTTAATCCCAAACACTAGAAATCCTAATGAATTTAGAGGGATTTGTTTCTGAGTAAACATGCTTGGAAATGTGCGGCTGTGTGAGTAAACAGTAGGAATATGTTCATGAGACTGGATTCATGAGGGATACAGCCACCTCTGGGATCTTGCCTTTGTGGTGTCAGGAGTCCTCTAACAGCTGTAAAACAAGAGCAGCAGTTTATACTACCTAAGTTAGGTCTCTTTGGAATGAGATAATTCTAGACCTTTGCCACAAACTGCAAAGGAAGTAAAGTAGTGCTTTTGAACTGCTAGGTTGGCAGGAGCTGGGACAAACCACTGAGCCTCTTGGGGTTGCTGATTGGAAAGTTGGCGGTTCAAATCCCCATGATGGAGTGAGCTCCCGTTGCTCTGCCCCTGGAATGGTGCTGCCAGTCAGAGTATGCAATAATGAACTACATGGGCCAAGGATCTAATGTGGTCTATGGCAGGTAGCTTCATGTTTTAAAGCCAAAGAGAGAGAGAGAGAGAAAGCAAGCTGCTGCCCTTCCTATGGAGACAAGCTGCAGCTTGGTTCTCTCCAGATTTTATATGTGTATTTTATTTATAATATTTATGTTCCACATTTTACAAGAAAATCCACCCAGCTGCTATCTGCTAGAAAGAGGCAGATTTTAACCCTTTACCTTCATCTAGTTCCATAGAATAATAAAATGTAGAGTTGGGAGGAACCATGAGGATCATCTAGTCCAACCACTTGCAATGCAGGAACCTTTTGCCCAATGTGGGGCTTGAACCCACAACCCTTAAGGTTAAGAGTCACATGCTCTACCGACTTGCACTTCTTTGCCTGTAGTGGATGCAACAGGACACTTGTGCCACAATCCTATATTATTTATTATTGTTGTTATTTAAGTGTGGGGTGACTCTGGAGCCTGTGTATGGTTGTTATTTAAGTCAGATCACCTTCTTGGGAACTCATTGCCTGGCCCTGTGCTTGTGGCAGGGATAACATCACGACAGTAGGGCAATGGGGCATTTGTATAAGGCTGCAGCGATGTGAGTACCATCCCTGGGGAAGAGCATTGTGAAGACCTGGCAACACACCAGAAGACACCAAGCATTGCCAGGCTTGAACCTATAGGCTGTAGTGAGGCTCTTTGGTCTGGAGAAGGCTAATTTACACTCATTTCCTTTGGAATATAAAGAACTACTGCGTCAATAAAGTGGTTGACCAAAGGGGAGAACAAGAAACCTGAAAATGTTGTAAATAATGTTCCAAGGGGCTTCCAATGAAATACCCTGAAGTGATTGACAATGAAAGCATCTATTTATCATTCATCCATCCATCGATTGATTGATCATTCTCCATTATAGATACTAATTAGGACAGGGGTCAGCAAACTTTTTCAGCAGGGGGCTGGTCCACTGTCCCTCATACCTTGGGGGGGGGCAGACTATATTGCGGGGGGGGGGGAGATGAACGAATTCCTTTGCCCCACAAATAACCCAGAGATGCATTTTAAATAAAAGGACACATTCTACTCATGTAAAAACACGCTGAATCCCGGACCTTCAACGGGCCAGATTTAGAAGGCGATTGGGACAGATCCGGCCCCCAGGCCTTAGTTTGCCTACCCATGAATTAGGATAAGAATCTCCCCTTTAAACGTATGCTGGAAAAGGAAGGTATTCAACAGACACCAGGGACAGCACCTGACTGATGTATTATGGACGAAAGACAAAGGGTAGGTGCAGGGGGCCTTCTCCTGCAGAGAGGAAGTGATTGGTTGGGATTATAAGGGACAATATAATCCTTCAGTTCCCATATACCGGTATATTCTTCTCAGGATTTCTGCTTGGGGCAGTTGTACATTCTGCCTACTGAGTCAGGAAGAGCAAAACATTTATTTCTTGATTAGCTTTGTTGATCCTGTTGTCTGCCCAAAATACCTGCCTGTGATCCTTACAGCTGCTTTTAGGCCAGCTAATGTAAAAATGGATTACCTCAGTAATAATCAAAACCTGTCAACTATGCCTGCCTAGAGTGTTTGGTTTGCTTAGTGGACAAACAGAGCTAGAGGGGTTAAGATGCTTGCAAACAATTGTCAAAAGCCTATTATGTGGGTCACTGCATTGTGCTGTAACGCACAACTTCTTGTTCTGTACCTGTAGATGCTGCTGTGGCTTTAACCAATAAAAGCAAAATAAACTTGGCTAAACACGGCCTGATTTGACTTGGCAGCCTTGTTTGTGATGATTTTTTTTTGTAAAATCCAGAGTCCATTCCAAGAGAATATGCATCTCCTAGGGAGCAAAACATTGAGCAGGTTCTCAAGAATACATTTTTGTTCTGAGTGGGCTCTGGTGACCTGCAAAGTTAGGCACATCGCGACTGCGTGTGCATTACCAGCTGAAAATGCAGCTAATCTGTTGTTTTTCTCAGATGGGATCTAAGCTTGTTTAGGAGGGGAAACATAGTGTTCCCTAATAAATTACAGGATAGATTTAGGATAGATTGTTGCTAAGGCTGTGATGGGTACAGAGTAAAAGGAGTGTGTACACAGCCTATGTGTAGGGCAGAAGCTTGTATCCTGTTTTTGTGTTTTTGAGATGAAAGACCTCCAGATTCTTGGACTACCCAATGCATGGCATTCCTCCTTTCACCATCAGTCAGCCCCCTGTTCGTTGCTCTCTATTTTCAATAGTCTGGGAGTCATGACCAGATGGCAGTATTGGTAGCAATTTTTAGACCCAGACAGTTTAAGGACTTGTTCCTAAGTCATGCATGAGGAGCGGACGGTTCCCCCCATCATTTTGCAGTTTACCAACCACGTAGACACTCCCCAATAACTTCCTGTTCCTTCAGTTACCATGCAGTTCTTAGAGGTAACATCTGGAAGAAAGCCCTTTGTGATTCCAGCTATACTGTAATTGTAGCAATAGGGAAATGAAAAAAGGATCTTTGCTGCAAAGCTAACATTTGAATACGGAATGAGAAATGAATCTGGAATGGATGTGCAAATCTTTGTTTGTTGTGGAAGACAAAGTATTCCAAAGGAGTCAGAGGCTGACCCACTGAACAAATTCAGAAAGTAGTGGAGATGAACTGTGATGGCCAGATAGAGCATTAATACCCAAAAGATAAAGACACTGAAAACTTGGACTTTTCCCAGCCATTAGAGGATTTCACCTTCACTGGGTGCTTGTCTCCAAACACATCCATGTCCAAATACACCCTTTCCCCTTCTTTGCTCATGAAATAGGATGTTCCTTGATTTGTTTTTATTTTCCCCATATGCAAAAGAGTTCCAATTATGACAAACTTGGCTTTCTGAATGAACATGTATTTTTTTGTTTTACTAAATATAGTCAAATTGCTTGTCTGGAAAGTGTCCTTGAACTTTGATCTTACCTCTTGCTTGCTTAGCTAGAGTGGGGTTTGTACAAAAACTAACATACACATTAGTTATTCCAGGAGCAAAACTAGGCTTTATTTCAACCTAGGTCAAAGAACCAGTTTGGCACCCACACTCACACGTGTGTGTACACACACCCACACACACCCATACAGGCTGAGAGCCTCAATGGTGCTCCTTTGGAGGCTTCAGCCAGGGCAAAAAACCTGGCTACGGCTCTAGTTATTCTGTCCATTTTTTATTCTAGCCCCACGAAGGCTGCCCAGAAGGGAATGTGGACCTCAAACTGAAAATGTTTACTCACCCCTGCACCAGATTCAGTGTAGGAAGCCTCTTGTTTTCCTCTGTTGAGGGCCACGTTCTCTCATGGTTGGTCTGCTAGGAGTTCCATGCCAGTTCCATGAGTGGGGCTGAAGTCATTAGGAGGAAGAGCCAGAGCAAAACGTCTGTGGAGTCACCCTATCTTCCTCATTCTGTCTCTTTCTCTTCCTCCTCCTGGCCCAGCTGCAGTGCTGGGAAACAAATCACTCTTGCCAGAGATCTGACCTAATAGTTGGCAGATGCCCTTTCAAATTAGACTGAGGACTGCATGTGGTCCTAGGACCACAAGCTGCCCACCCCCTCAATGCTAGGCATTACCAGAGAAATGTAGGGAAGGTGATATGAGTTAGCAGGGGCCACAAATCCTCCCAAACATCTATTTAGGCCCTTAAGCTGGTTCTTAAAAGACTTATGCAATGGGAAAGCAGTTGGCTGTAGATACTTTTGTGTTCCTTTGCTGCATATACTTTTCTGCAATTAACTGATCTCCTAAATGCACACCGTTTATGTAGTTCCCCACCACCATTTACAGAAGTGTAGAATAAAGCACTAGCCCTCTGCTCCCAATAATGTGCTGTTTTAATGTGCAATATTACCACTTGTGGAATGCTTTCCCCTGGTGGCCTCGTTAACATCCTTTTGGTGCCAGGTAAAAACGTACATCTTCTCCCATCTAATCTGACAGGTTATGATGATTTTGCCATTTATTGATGGTATGTCTTTTGCTGCTGAAGTTTCTGCTGCTGTTCTACAGGGTCTGTTTTATAGATTATCATAAAAGCCATACAGTAACATATTGCTCTTTTT